CACAGACTCACACACACACACACATAGAGACACACAGAGACACACGCGGACTTGCCTTCAGCCTGACGCCACGCCCCTGCTCAGCACCCAGCAAGGATCGGTGTCTTCTGTCCTTGTCCTTAACCATCGGTCCGTCAGTGCATTCCCAGGCATCTGGGTTGAGGAAGGCCGGCAAGGGCGCCAGGCCGACATCCTTACTGCAGGACTTCTCAGAGCCTTGAGAGCTGACGTGCCCGGAGGTGGAGTATGTTACCTCTCTGCTCCCACACTCACTGATCAGAAACCCCCTGTCCTCTAGGACCCCGTTATGCATGCCTGGCGGGTACTGTTTCCTCATTCAGAACATCGTTATGGGACAGCCCCTCTGCGTGCAGCTCTGCCCTAGGACCTAGGACAGCAGAGAACGAGGGGACAAGGCTTAGTCCTGGAGCAGTCACCGCAATCCTGGAGCTGGGGGAGAGAGAGGAACAGAGCCCAAACAGAGTCAGGGAGCCACGCCAGCCTCCATGTGGTCCCCCAAGACCCTGAGTCCAGAACAAGAGCCCGAGCTCAGAGCGAGCCTCTCCCAAGGCCTGTGGCGTCAGCAATGGGGAGGGGGCAGGGCTGAGTCAGGGGTTCTGGGGAGGGTCTTTGCTGACATGGCACAGAGCTGGGAGGGTCTGGGGTTGCGGACCCGTCTGTGAGGGCTGCCAGATGCTCCCCCCTCCCCCGACTGCATCCTTCCTGCTAAAGATTTTGATTAGCCTCTCGGTAAATTTCATTTGATCGATGTGCTCTGGAGATTAGGCCTTTCAAGATCTGGTTCCGTTCTGGTCATTCACAAAGGAGACTAAAGCTTCAAACTGGGGGATGTGCCAGGAGCAGCCACTGGGAGCTGGCTGGTCTGGACTGGGGGATGTGTGCCCTGCAGCGGGGACCCAGGGGAGGGCTCAAAAGCAGACGGAGGCACAGCTGGTTCTCCAGGGAATGGGAGAGGCCATGGATGGCTTTAGGGAGGAAAAGGGGGTGCCTGCTTCCGATGGGGTAGGGGAGGTCCATCCCTCCGTGCCTCCCACAGCTGGGGGAGCCGGGGGGGTTGGCTGCTCGTCTCTGCAGGGAGGGGAGGGAGTTTCTGCAGCCCAGAGACACTGCCACATCTCCACGGTGCCAGGCCGGTCCCTAATGTCCACGGTAGGGCCGCACTCAGTGCCCTCCACTCTGCCTGGGTACCGCTGAGGAATAGCGCTCGCTCTGTGCCCCCGGAGGCTGCATTGCTAACAAGCCTGGTTCTGTCTGATTAAAGATGACAGCCACTTGTCAGAAGGCACAAGACATCGTTTTCAAACCACGCACTGCAAAATCTCATGGGCTTTTGATATACTTTTAAAATCTGTGCCATCTTGAGTCCCACCTGGGTAAGGGGCTGTGCTGCCTCCCAGGCTGGGGGCTGGGGTGACGGCACAGATGACTGAGGCCCTTCTAGGACAGCTGTAGGGAGGAAAGGGCTCTGACAGAGCAGGGGCTGCTGCTGGGTTCCGATCACGTGGAACGCCCCGGCCACCGTGGCCACTGCGAGACAGAGCAGAGCAGCAGTGGGGATTGATGCAAGGGGTGAGGACACTTTTATTTTGGACTTCATGAGCCTGTCTTAGTCGGCTTGGGCTGCTATGCTATGAACTGCGAGGCTTAAACAACAGACAAGTTATTTCTCGCGGCTCTAGAGGCTGGAAGTCCGAGATCAAGGTGCCAGTGCACTGGGTTCCTGGCTCGGAGATTGTCACCTTCACCCTGTGTCCTCCCATGGCAGAGAGCTCTGCTGTCTCATCTTGTAAGGACACGAGTGTCCTTATAAGACATCATGGGGGCCCCATGTAGCTTTTCATGGCTGAATAATCTGCCGTTGTGTTTATCACACTCACATTTGGACATCTGGGCTGGTTCCACCTTCTGGCTATTGGGAATAATGCTGCTGTGAAGATTTACGTGCGCGTTATTGTGTGGACCCATGTTTTTATTTCTTTTGTTCTCTTCCTTTTTCCTAAATACGTAGGAGTGGAATTGCTGGGTTGTATGGTAGTTCCGTGTTTAACTTTTGGAGGCACTGACAAAGTGTTTTCCACAGTGGCTGCGCCGTTTTACATCCCCACCACCAATGTGCAAGGGTTCCAATTTCTCCATATCCTCACTAGCACTTGTGATTTTCCGTTTTGTTTTAATCATAGTCGCCCTCGTGGGTGTGAGGTGGTGTCTCATTGTCGTCTGGATTTGCCTTTCCTGAATGACAGTGATGTTGAGCATCTCTGATTTGCTTCTTGGCCATTCCTGTATCTTCTTTGGGAAAAAAATGTCAGTTCATTTTTAAACTGGACTGTTTGTCTTTTTGTTGTTGAGCTGTAAGAGCTCTTTATATATTCTGATCCTAAACCCTTATCAGATCTGTGATTTGCAAATATTTTCTCCCATTCTATAGTTTGTCTTTTCACTTTCTTGATAACGTCCTTTGATGCACAAAAGTTGTTAATTTTTATGAAGTCCAGCTTATCTATTGTGTTGTTGCCGCTCACGCTTTCCGTGTCATATCCGAAAATCCACTGCCAAATCTGGGGTCAGCAAAATATACCCCTGTGTTTTCTTCTGTGGTTTTCTACTTCTGTGGGAAAACTCTTTTACTGGCATGTAACACACAGAGGAGTCCATGAATCTCACACACTGGACACACCCAAGCCACCAGCACCCAGACCAAGGAAACACATGCCCCGCACCCCAGACAGTCCCCTGGGGCCCCCAAGGCAGCCACCACCCTGACTCTGACCGTATAGATTCATTTGCCTCGTTTTGAACTTTGTAAAAATGGAATCGGCTCTGCGGTGTCTGGTTTCCTTCCTCAGCCTTGAGTCTTTTCTAGGCCTCCAAGTTGATTGCTCAGGGTGTGGGGTTTGGGGGTGTGTGGGCATGGGGTGTGCACCACAGAGTCAGGGACCACCCCCCCCCCCCGGCTGGGGACAGAGGCCACAAAGGCCAGACTCCTGGACGCCAAGCCTGGCTCCACCTCCTCCTGCTGTGTGACCTTGCTCAGCTCCCTCCACCTCTCTGTGCCCTGATGGAAACAAAGACAGTCATGAACCTCACAGGCTGTCACAGGATGAAGACCAGTTCGTGTGTGAAAGGGCTTCTTGCCTCTCCCTGTAGAAATAAGCAGTATCCCCGTTGCTGCTGTTTTTGGAGACGGGGGCGTTTGCCAGCTGCTGGGTTGGGGGGTGCTTTCCAGAGGGAAGAGTATGGACGCTGGGCCGGCCCCTGGCGGTGGCCGCAGGGCTGTTTCTCTGCTCAGCCTTAATTCTCATTGGTCGGGCTGGGGTTTCAAGCCTGTCCTCTTACAGACTGTCCCCACGGCTTTTTCTCTCCACCTGACTCACGTGTAGACATGCAGTGTAGATGTGCCGTGTAGACAACAGTGTGTGCTTTCTCCCCCAAGTGGCTGTCACAGAACTTCTGCTGTTTGATGTCATGAGGGTGGGTTGTCCCCCTGACCCAGAGTGAAGCGGGTGCCTGCCTGAGGAAGGCGTGAGGACAGGTCAGAGGTCACAGTGTTTAAAGTGCGTGAGTCCTCAGTTGACACCTGGGATCTGATAGCAGGTGGTTTCTATTAAAGCTACAGCGCTGTTCCAATCCCCTGTTTGTACCTCAAGGACGGAGCTGCTCTGACCGCTCGGCATTTGAAGGCTGAAATGGCAGCTTCACCCTCACTCTGCCTGGGCCCAGTGCTGCAATGTGACCTGCTCCCCAGATAGATTCCTGAGACTAGGGGTTCCTGCAATGCCGTGCCAGGCCCTGCCCTCGGAGGCTCACTGTCTAGCAGGGAAGACTCACCCGAAATAATTGTCAAACCCTGTGAAAATGGGGCTATGGGAGCCCAGAGCAGGGAAGCAATCAGGGGAAGCTTCCAAGAGGAGGTGGCGTTGGAGATGAGATCGGGAACATTCCAGGTGGTCCCGGGTGGGAGAGTGGGGAGGGCAGTCCTGGTGGAAGGGGCTGCAGGTGCAAAGGCCCGGAGGCCGCAGAGCCGGCAGGACTGAGCACTCGG